GCAGCCTGGCATCTCTGAGGGCAAAACAATGCCAAGTTCCCCCAAATATCCCATTTCCAGGGAACTGACCAAATGGAAGCTGCCTGGAGAATCCTCACTTGAATGTTTTTTTTATTTATTTGACCTGAATCAAAGTTCACATGGTGAGAAACCCTGTCTCTATGAATTTGTCAAAAGCAGTCAGGGACAAAAGTTTTACATAGCAGCTGCCTGAGTTAGTAATACCAGTCGAAGCAAACAAGAGTTTTACCAAAAAAATTTAAAAGAAATTCTGGTAAATGAGATATTCATAGAAGGCTTTCAAAAGCTCTGATGTATTTCTGGGCATCTAGAAGGCCACACAGATGCAGTGTTATGCATCTGATCAGGAAAGACCTGAGAAGTCTATATCTCTCACCTCTTGTGGACCAATGGGTTCTGTGTACCATCACTGTAGACCACTGGAGTGTTCATGGCATCTTTCATAGTTTGCCCAATCATTAGCTAACTGAGCAAAGACTTCAGTGATGGCATAGAATAAAAAAATATAGGCTTTACAGCTTAGTTCAGGAAAGTGACTAAATAAAAAGTAGCAACAATAACAAAAACAAACACCAGCAAAAACAAACTGGGCCAGGGGAGGTGGGATGGGCCAATTTCCAGAGCTCCCAAATTATATTATATTAAATGTTCATATTTAAAGAAACAAAAAAGTGACATGCTTTATAAATCATAATATTATAAATGCTAAATAACATAAAAGTATGTCCCACAAACAGGAACAATAGCAGTCAACTGAAATTCTCCTTGAGGAAGCTCATATGACAGACCTTAAATCAAAGACTGCTTTGATATAGACTTTAGTCAACTACTATAAATATAGTCAAAGGACTAAAAGAAATCATGTCAAATAATATCTTTAAAAAGCATAAAAATGAACTCCTACCAAATGAGACTATCAATAAAACATATAAAATATTAAGGGGAAAATAAAAATTCTGTAATTATAATGCAAAATTTACTAGAGGGTCTCAAAATCAGTTCTGAGCTGGTATAAGAAAGAATCAAAGAACTTAAGCCAGTTGAAATCCAGTCATAGGAACTTCTGAGGAATTCTTAAAAAAAATGAGCAATAAACACTTCCTCAGAGACCTTTTGGGACACCATCAAGTGTACCAAAACATATAAAACCAGAGTCCCAAAAGGAGAGGTAAGATTAAAAGGGGCAGAAAGAATATTTAAAGAAATAATGATTGAAAACTTCACACATTTGATAAAAACATTAATCTACATACCTAAGAAGCTCAAGAAACTTCAATAACATTGAACTCAAAGATATCCACACCTACATATCCCTTTACCAAAAGACAAAGACCAAGAAAAAATATTGAAAGCAGGCAAACAAAACAAAACAAAAACCACAACATCTACAAAGATTCTTCAACAATATTAGATGCAGACTTCTTTTTAGAAACTATACAGGCCAGATCATGGGAATAACATATTTGTTGAATGCAAGCTAGAATTAGTGACTTGCTTCCAGAGAAAATATAGAAAGGTAGGTTAAAATTAACTTTACAATGGAAAAACTAGAAAACACTATCCAAACAATTTACAGATTCATTGAACTTTTCATTTCAGTAATTCTCAATCTTAGAATAAGCAATAATCACATGAAGAGTTTATTAGAAATGTAGAATTCAAAGTTCCATGCACAAAGATTCTGATTCAGTAAGTCCAAAGTGGAGTCCAAAATTATGAATATCAAACAAGTACCCCAATAGATCCAAATATCTGTGGTTTGAGTTTCACAGTGACTTTGGACCATAATTTGAGAGACTGAAAACAAGCATACCCTGACATAATTTTTTAAACTTGTGATTTATACTTCAGTATTAAAAGAAAAATATTCTTAATTAAGGGTTTTGCTTATATTGTTTATAATTAAAATTTTTAAGCTTCCCATTTAATTATTTAAGGCAACTTTTCCTAAAATGTGCTCTTTAATAAAACTTATTTGATGTATGATTTGTTTTAAAATGATACAATAAGAAATATGCACCACTACAAAGATCCTGAAATTATTTGGAAACCTTTTGCCATGATAATTTTGTCTCAAGAAATTAGAAAATTCCACAAGATTATCTAGGTATAATTTATAGAAAGCTAGGTATAATTTATAGGAAGCTGAGTTAAAAAACAGGTGTTAATGGTAGAATGATGAATCTTGTCCTTTTCCTCACCATAAATTTCTAAAAAATGAGCTTCTAGACTCTAAATCAGATGTGGGTTCACATAGATTTATGTCATTTAGTCCTTGTCACTGAGAAAATAAAGTAAAGGATCTATATGTATCTTGTCAGCTGTTCCACAAACCACCTACATTGAATACAAGTATCAGTGCAGAGACCATTACTTCCATGGCACCGTCTTACACTGTCCCAGCCCCTGAATATTGGATGCCACTCTTGAAAAGTATTTGCATGTCAGTGCTATGAGCTTAACTACAATGATAGCTAGTTCCTATTACTACCTAATTATGTTTAAACCCTAATATTATTTCAAATGATTTCCCATTGTAAATGATTGCCTCCAAGTGAAAATTGCTGAAATCAGCTAGCTTTGGTTCAAAGTCTATGTTTAGGAGAGTTCAAGAATAGCCTTCTTTGAGTGATAGACAATATGGCAAAATCCTAGGCTAACCTAAAAACACAATATTAAAATTTTAATTAAACTAAAATTAATTTTTGCAATTTTTCTGTCATAATTATTATTTTTTATTTTAAATTTCCAACTCTGTTAATAAACAAGTTTAGAGACTACCAAAGAAATATGAGTACTCATTCATCCATTCATTCTTTTCATATTTATTGAGTTCTTATTATGTACCTCAATAAGATAAAGAAAACAGATTTCTTCTCTCAAAGAATTTGCACCCTAGTGGAACAGGACATGATTACAAATTATGATTAAAATCTCATGAAAGTATATGCAGAAAAGCAGAGTGAGTAGATGACAAGGGTTAAAGCCAATTCTGGTGATTTTTATCTCCTTTGCATTATTAAGCTGTTTTCCAGACTTAATACTGATTGGAGACATATGGATTTGAAAGAAAAGGAAATAAGTTTAAATTTGGATTTGGATTAAATACTCTATTTGGTTAATTCTTTTTGTACTTTTAAGTTTTAGTACATCACAAGTTATAGCACACTCACAGAGTTAACACACAGTGCATCTTGTAAGGATGTTGTTCATGGGTTGCCCACTTTGGGCACCTGTGTGTTAAATCTAACAGCCAAGAGTAAAACTAGCCCATATGTTGTCTCTATACAATACACACACACAATTAGTTTGAAGGGTTTTTTTAAATATAAAATTTATGAAGACCTCAAAGAAATTTGGTAAAAATTACTAAATCCAGCTATAGAATCAGAGCTCATGTATATTTAAATGTGTGGAGAGTGAGAGGAGTGGGGCTGTAAGTATGCTATCATTTGCTTTCATAAAAGCTCTGGGCTACTATTAATTCTACTAAATTTGGGGGATACTCTTTTCCTTGACCATTTTACCTAGAATTTTTTTGCATTAAAGGTTTTCAAAAATCTCTTATTTTTGTACTTGCTTGAAGCACCTTCAAGCACAATTTGCTTTCTGAGCCTTCATAGTTATTTTCAATAGAGGGTGTTGATTCCCTCCCATGAAATCTGTAAAATGTCACTGCATTACTCTATGTTTCTGAATATGCCATCTGATGGACACATAGGCTCTATGCCTCCTCCTCTCACCTGAGCACTCTGACTCCTAGGTCCCTCTCCTGGCTGTGCCCTCTCTGACCACATGAGCTTTTTAAATGCCTTTAATCTGGAAGAGGAATTTCCTGGAACCCCCAGGTATAGAATCATAATGCTACCTGTGTAACACATTAGTTATCAGGAGAATTATTAATTAATCACTTCATACCAATGATCACAAAGGCTACATTATCACTTACAATCTTTATTTTTCTGTGCCAGCTACAGTTGATTAAAAAGGTAAATTTGATATTTTAAAAATTGTTTTTAAAATTTATTTTAAAAATTGTTTCCTCTATATATTTAGACCCTAACCTCTCATCTAGAGTGCTAAACCCATATGTCTAACAATACCAACAAAGCCTTGCAGAGCGTGCACTGAGTCATGCTAAATTATAGTAATCTGTTCTTTGTTATTATTATAATACAGCCATTTAAGTCAAGAGCTCCATATTCTATCTTAAATACTGTAATACTGATTTGTTCTGTGAACTTAGAACAGTGTCTATAGTCAACCCTTGAACAACATTGGGTTGGAACTGCACTGGTCCACTTATACCACTTTTTTTCAATAAATACTGTAAAAGTATTTTCTCTTCCTTATCACTTTCTTAATAACAGAAGTCTTAATAGAAAAGTCTTCTCTAGCTTACTTATTGTAAAAATACAATCTTTAATACATATAACATACAAAATACATGTTAATCAACTGCTCATGCTATCAGTAAGAACTATGGTCAATCCTAGGCTATTAGTAGTTAAGTTTCAGAGAAGTCAAAAATTATACACATCTGCTGCATTGTTCAAGTGTCAATTCTATATACATTTACTCATTTAACTAATAATGATAATTCCATGTGTAATAATGAACTGATCTTAACATACTTTGAATTTCTTAAGTAATCACAAGTTATTTATCACTGATCTAACTCTAAGTTTTTATAGAAGATTCACATTTCAAATGAAAATTATATGTTAGTCTTCAGGAAGGCTAATTTCTTCTTTTAGGTATTGTACTTTTTTCAGAAAGTTAGTGTTTGATACTCTTCAAAACAATTATAACATCATTAAATCAAGATCCATATACATGAAGTATAGCTTAGCATGTTTTCCCTAAACAAGTCTGAATTTCTTTGCAGACAATATTTGATATTATGAAAGAGGTACATCTTCATCGAAGCTGTCCTTAGGCTAAAAGCAATTTGTCAATAAATAGTAAGGTCTACTCACGTTTCTCTTGCTCTGCTTCCACTCCTTCACTTTCTGTGTCACTTGGCAAGATCCATGGTTGGTGAACCACCTGCAACTGCTTTAAAGATTCATCCTGCCAAAGAGAAAATTCATTTCAGATTGAAATCTAGGATAAACTTGTGAGTACCAATGTGGACCAAAATGGTTGAACACTTCAGTTTCCATGAAGTACATGTTCAACAAACCATAATGAAAATTTCCTGACAACAGGGAAGAGTTCTAACTTTAAATTCACTTTCCTGTCATAGACATGCCACTAACTCTAAACTCTTTTTTATTTTGTATTTTCCTTTTAATAAGATTTAATATCTTAATAAGAAAATACCTTGGCTATGTTCCTTCCTGAATTAACATTTTTGAGGAAATCTTAGAACTTGTTTTTGGCAATGTAATAATAAAATGTTTGTTATAAAATTGCACAGAGTCTCTTGTCATCAAGACTTCAAATTCCCTTTAATAAGAATAAAATTTAGTAGGATTTAGAGAACATTTGTAACTTCACCCTTCAGTACTACTTCACTATTTCCCTCCCCCTCTCACTTCCTTATTTTTATTATTATATTTCTCAAACACTTCTCTGCTGCTCCATGACTTCTGCCACTGATCTAAAACAGACCCTTATCATCTCCCATCCCAACTGTAGTAACAGCCATCTATGAAGTTTTGTTTTTTAGGATTCAGTTTCATTTGCTCCCTGTTTCTTCCCACCAATTCCCCTTGTTCTAAAATGAGTTTTCTAAAATGCCATCCCCTTGTTCATTATCCTTGAGTAGCCTCTTCATTATTCCCAGGAAGAGATCTAATCTCAAGGCCCTTCATGATCCGTACTTGTTGGGCTTGATCTACCACCAGTTCCATAGGGTCAATAACTGACCCTTCCACTCCAGCTATAATTAACTGGTAGCTCCTTAATTTTGTCATTCTGTATGATCTGCCAAGATGTTTTCATGCATTATACTTCCTGCCTAGAATGCACTAAATTTATTTATCTGTCCCAGACATGAACATGCCCTCAGGCTCAGGTGTCATCTCTACTGCCTCCCCTGGATCCTGCAAGACAGAGTAATCCTCCATTCCTGTGCCTGTTGCACCAATAAAGCAATTACTATATAATAATTGTCCTTTCCTATCTTCCTGCCTCAGAATAATGTGGAAAGTCCTGGAGGACATGGATACCTTTTTTTCACCTGTGTATTCCTAGTGTCTATTATATAGTACTGGGCAAGAAAATAGGTATTCACTCAGGAAACATTTGTGTAGGAGAAAGTAGAGAAGGAAAAAAAAGGAAGAAGATGAAGGAGAAAGGAAGGATGGATTCTCTTTAGAAGAAAACAATTTCAAATTTATTGAGACATGATTCAAGAAAATATTTTCAAACATATCTTAAAAATTAAAAGCAAAAAGTTAATGTGATCTGTCATTTCACTGTCTTTGTTCTCTGAAATTCATTCACTATCTTCCCTGCTTTTTAATGATCTTTTCCTCCAATTTGAGATAGTTTGCTTTATTTTGCTTAGACAAATACCAGTGAGACAAAAATAAAGGCTCACAGTCAAATAGGTATTGGAGGCACTGGGGTGATCACTTTGCAAGTTATATAAATGTCTGATATTACTCTGTACAACTGAAACTAATATAATGCTGTGTGCCAACAGTAACTGGAAAAAAATAAAGGTTCACAACCCCTGATCTCTAAGAGACATGACATGAGCAAACAGTGTATGTTCACTTTAAAAAAAGAATTTTCTGTAGGGCCCTGGACAGGTACTCAGTTACTTGGAGTGTTGTCCTGATGCGCCAATGTTGCTGGTTCCATATCCAGTCAAGGCATGTACAAGAATCAACCAATGAATGAATGTATCAATAAGTGGAACAACAAATCAATGTTTCTTTCTCTCTGCTTTCTTCTTTCCTTCCTTCCCTCTTTTCTCTAAAATCAATCAATCAATCAATTCCTTTGTGAGAGAAACATCCTCTCTGCTATCCCTTGATTGTGGATGGTTACCTTTGGAGATGTTTAGTTCCAAAGTAGAGTTTCAAAATGGCATAATTTTCCAGTTTTGGAAGGTTTAGGGAGTTGATAGGTAAAGCATGGGGAATATTTTACGGACGTGAAACTATTCTGAATGGTATTATAATGATGACTATAAGACATTAAGCATTTGTAAAAACCCATAGAACTTCATACCACAAAGTGCATGTCAATGCATTCAAATGAAAAAAAAAAAGAATAAATTAGGAGGTTGAGGGATTCCAGAGTGAGATGCAAAATATGTAAAAGTAATCTAAATGCATTACAAATATATGAAACAACCTCACTGAATGGGGTGGGGAAATGAGGTGCTGACCTGAATAATTGAAATTGAGAGGAGTCCATAAGACCAAAAGCAAAAGGAACTGTACACAAGAACTGTGCTATAGTCGATGAACTTGTTTCCTATGGGTGTACAGGTTAACAATTCTAAAAACTATATATCTAGATAGACAGAGATCAACATAGATATACAGATATACAGATAGTTGAAGTAGGAGTTTACAGATAAGCAAGGCTAGAATAGTCCAAATATAACATATTAGAGTTGAAGACATCAGTATAGATTCACATTTAGCTTACTATATATACAAATGACTACATATAGAAATATTAATAGATATTTATATATACATGGGTTAGTAACCGCACATATATCTGCCTGCTCTGGCAGCTGAGAGGACTTAAACACAATGGCACCCCAATAGCAATGAACACAACTACCACCCAGGTCTTAATTTGTAATACCATTTTTCAATAAAAGAACCATACTCTTGACTAATTCTTGGACTGAGACAAGAAATACACAAGATGTCTAGAGCATCTGGATGTGCCAGAAAGAAAAAACTAACACACACACACACACACACACACACACACACACACACAATAATGACAATATATCAAAGGGATAAAGGACCCAAACTGAAAAAAATCAGTGGCCAAGTCTAGAACAATTTGAGCAAGAAAAAGCAAATAAGGTAGCATTGGGTTATTACCCAAAGTGTAAAATAAATATTTATGAGTCCCTTCTGATAAAAAAATGATTGAATAAATAAAAAATCAATAAATAAACCAATATGCCATGCAGATGGAGTGCAAATATTTATGTAGACACTCTTCCTTAAGTGGTTAATAACTTCCCTCTTCTTAAGAGTGGCCTATGTGTAGTGACTTTCTTCCAAAGAGTGCAATGTGGAAAGGCAAAGCAAAAAAGAATAACTAACTTTACAGGGGAAAAACCTGACAAATACTACCTAAAGCCAGGTGATTAAAGTCAACATCAACAGCAGTAATTCCTATTGATAACATGTTCCTTTGATTGAACGGGATGAAAATAAAATTTTACTCCTATGGTTTACCTTCTAAAAACACACTATCTCAGTCGAACCATAAGAAAAATATCACACAAATCTCAATTAAGGGATGATGAACTAAATAGTTCTCCTCAAAACTTCTGTGGTCATGAAACAGTCCTTAGACTGTTTTTGGTTGTGCTCATTTCTCAGACTTTCTCAGTCTAAGGAGACATGACTACACAATGTAACATGATATTTTGGATGGGATGTTAGGACAGAAAAAGGACGTGAGGGGAAAAGTGAGAAAACTTGAATAGAGCAAGGGTTTAGTTACTAATAAAGTATCAATATCTGTTTATTAATTATGACATGTGTACCATACTAATATATTATAATAATAATAGTAGACACTGGGGGAGAGGTGTATAGGGACTCTCTGTATTATTTATGCAATAGATTTTGTAAACCTAAAACAGTTCTAAAATTTTAAAAAATAATAATTAAAAATTCAAATAAAAAAGCCCTGGCTGGCATAGCTCAGTGGATTGAGCACGGGCTGTGAACCAAAGCATCACAAGTTCAATTCCCAGTCAGGGCACATGCCTGGGTTGCAAGCCACGTCCTCAGTGGGGGCCACGTGAGAGGCAACCACACATTGATGTTTCTCTGTCTCCCTCCCTTCTCCTCTCTAAAAATAAATAAATAAAATCTTAAAAAATTCAAATAAAAACAAAAAAAATGAAAAATGATTTTCACTTTAAAAATAAAATCACAAGTCCATTAGCATGAGCAACTCTTGAGAATAGTTACTTAATCAGATTAAAACTTAAATTTCTATCACCTGAGAGATGGCTTTGCAGTTAAAACTCCTTGCCCCAGGGGTCATGAGTCACAACTTCTTGTCAGGGTTGAACTAAGGCATGTCACTTCCCCTTTGGGATAGAATGAAGATGATGAAGCTACTGGATTAGCTCATCTCTAGTACTTCACAGGCAATAAATTTTTAGGTCTAGATTCCTTTATAGTCAGTAGTATGTGAGAGGCACTGAATGAACTGTTAGAAGGAAAGTCAGCAAAGAATTAAAAATATTTAATCTTGGAGTATATAATTTAGCTATAAATCAGTGTTTATTTCTAAGATTTAACTTATTTTTTCAGGTTTATTAATTATTGGGTTTGGTCTTGGGGTATATAACTAAAGAAGCAGCATAAATGTGAAAGATCTTGGATTTAAAATTCTGTAACAGTAGAGAAGACAGCAGAAGTAAATTTTCAAAATTTTTCATATAACAGAGGAAAATCCCATTCTTCAGTTTTTTAAAAAAATATGCCATGTAAAATTTAAAGAACTATGAAAGATATGCTTTTTGGTTTTGTAGGGTAAAAATCAAATGGCTAAATCTTTTTATTTAAAACAGAAAATTTTAAAGTGATCATGAAAAAATGTTTTTAATTTAAAAGTTATTTTGGTTAATTAGCTTTTAGGCCCAAATACCAAAATTGTTCTCATAATAGAAGAGATGATTAATAACTTAGCTGTATTACTTTTGCCCACAATAGTTCAGATTATTCAACCATACTACAGTTGGTTACTGGTTTCAATGACTTTACTCCCAAGTGATATAGGAAGCACCCAACTATTCTTTGTTGCAAATTACATAAAGTACAGATGGAACATTAGCTCAGTAAAATATATAGTTTGGAATGTTGAGTTGTTGGAATTGTAGAGATAGTACAAATATT